TTTTTTTAACGCCATGCCTCATTCATCTGCACATCTCAAAATAAGACGTTGATTGTTGATGAACAAAATGATCCTGCTATGAGTTTCACGCTAGGAAGCTCATCTTAAGTGAGATGTCTTATGAAGTTTCAAGATTTTCAATTCTAACCACTAATTTTTAACCTGTGATTCTATAAATTTTTTATGCCTGTTACATTGGTAATTTTATTAAAAGTTGGCTACTTGGAGAGGATTATGTACCAAGGATTTTTAATAGTGAAGTATCATAATATCAGAACCATCGAGACACTGGTTTCCGAGAGAAGTGAATTAACATGAGTTTTACTTTAGGAGGATTATGTTAACAGAGAGGCTTTATAAGGCATTAAATTCTCTAACATCATCAGCTAGCTTTTAAAATGTAATTTTTTAAAGGAAAATCTGCTCATCATGAAGCTCTTAGGTTTTCTTGCGATCATCGTTTATATTTTTAAGCTATGAATTAGTATGACGATTTAGATATGAAAATTTTTATGTCGCATCTGAATATACATTTCTGAAAATGATATGCCGACGTACTAATCTGGTGGCCAGTTGTTGAGGTCCAACAGAAAGCGGGAAGAGGTAGACGCGTGTGCCAGCTTGACAGGGAGGAGGGTTGCTCCGCATCGGGGTGTTTCCTGTGCTTTGCTGTAAAACTGCCGTCCTGATAGCTTCCTGTGGCTCCTGATAGGCCCGTTCTTTATCAGTCACTGGTTCATTCATTACCCGCCCTCGACATTTTCACCACTACTGTATTTTCCCTCTTCAACCTTTTTAAGGGTTTTAGAATGCTTCCCTGGTTATTTAGATGAATTCCGCTGTTTGGGTGACACTTTAAATCATGGTTTGGAGAATAAATCACTCAAACACCCACTCAAAAACTAAAATCATGGTTTTGGAGCCAAACCTTGGTTTTGAAAAAAGCAAAAAAATTTTGCTTTTGGAGAAAAAAGAGAGAGTGTGAGAGCCTATAAGATATGTATCTTGTTATTTTTTATAAACATATTTAATATTATATTTTATAAATATATATACATATTAATTAATTATTAATTATGTTAATAAAAAATATATTATTAACAATTTTATTCCTTCAAATTAAAATATATCATAAAATCTATTTTTCTATAATTATCATATTAACTTATGTCTTTTTTTTAATAATTTGTATATATAAAAAGTGCTTCTGATAACAACTATCCAAACACTCTCACTTCTCAAAATCACTTTTTCATAAAATCTATTCTTTTCGGAATCTATTTTCCAGAATCACTTTTCCAAACCACGGTTTGGTTTCATCTAAACACACCTAAAATCAAAATCACAGTTTTAAAATTGTTTTTATAATAACAAACATTGTGAAAATATTTATCTTAATTTATAAAAAAATATTTATGAAAAACATTTTTTTATAGTGACCAAACACCTTCTTTTCCTCTTAAAATTGAAATCGCACACGATGTGGAATGTTGCGAGTTCGAAAACCCCGCTCAACTCAATTTTCGCGAGCCTCTTTCTAAAACAAGTTCTCTTTTCCCGTAACGATTTTAATATGCACCAAAGCATATTAGTATCCACTCTTGTGACGCTGAACAGTCTCATCCCATCGGTCCAGATTTTTGGAAAGGACCTTTACTTTAAAGGCTTTATCGAATTAATAAAAATTAGTGTTTGGTTTAAAATGACTTGCCTAGCATTAAAAAAAAGAAGAGCATATTAGTATCACTAAAACAGCAGATTCTAAAATGTGACCTCCAGGGAAGAAGCGGAAGACGTGGCTATATATGTGAGGGAAATGCGGTCACAGGGTGCTCAGGTACATGCGATATATGTGATGCGAAGTGCGGGAAGTGGTTCCCAAATAATAGGGCAACTGTTAAAGTTGTATCGAAAATCACCTGCCCTTCATGAGCATGCAAGAATCCAAAGGCCTGGGATACCTACACGGTATATCGAGAATTCACGTTTTTCTTTGAAAATCTTAGGTATTCGCCTGATATTATTAAAAGTAGCCTTCTGCAACCAACCGCCACGTAACTCCACCGGTACGGCGCTTATGTTAGTCCAATTTGCAGCGTTGAGTTCGAGTCCTAATTATCCACTGCGTTAAATACAAAATAAAAAAGAAGTACTACCTCCGGTCTTAATTATAAGACCCGATTGACTAATTTGAGGAGATTAACGAAAGAAGTTAAGTTAGTTATTTGTAATAAATAGGTGTTGTCTTTCCTAAAATATCCTTACTAATCAACTATATTGGCTAAAACTACAATTATTAGAAGGACTATCTTGAAAAAAATGCATAAATATGAAAGACAAAGTGGATTGGGGTCTTATATTTAGGACCAAAATAAAAGTCAAACAGGATCTTATATTAATGACCGGATGTAGTATTTTATTTTCTACTCCCTCAATTTCAAATTTGAGGGTTTGTGTTAATAGAAATGATATGAGAAAAAGTCATAGATATAAGAGGCAGACGGGACTAGGGTCCTGCGACTAAAATCAAAGCAAACCCCTTCATTTGTTCTCGTTTTTAGGATAGGAAGGAACACAAATGCATGACAAATTTGTAGAAGCTTGCAACAAAGCATGGATTCCAACTCCGACCTTCTTAGCTTCATTCAACTCGTGTTAGTTTTTGTTGCACATATACATATATATGTAAAAAATATCATAGAATTAGCGGTGTATAAAATGTAATATAAATGGCATGCATATCTCATCTCTTTGTTGTCCCCCGTACATATGGACATCCAACTTACAAAACCGTACGCTGCATGTTGAGTAAATTGAACTAGATATCAATTTGGCTCGAGTCATGTTGTTAGACGTTGTTTTTAAGAGTTAATCCGCCACCCTAAATAAATATAAATGTGGCATTCCCCATAATTAAACCAACTCTTCCTACAACAGATATGGTGGTAGAACAATAGAAATAGAAATATAACTCAACAGTAGAGAAAAAAGAAGAAAAGAAATGCAAAGGAGAAAATGAGCTCTTGAAAGCTCGAGAGTAGTGTATCAAACACACCGTCTGGAACCCTTTTATATAAGCCACGGAGCATCTGAACATTGGGCAGCATACTTATGACAAAAAATACGATTAAATTGTTGGTTTCAGATGCTAGCACCATAAACTATAGTTATACTATCGATTATGAACCTTAGAGACATTCAAAATTTGAATTTTAAATATTGGCAGGCATTAATTCATGAAAAATGGTTTAACGATTAATGAAGGGATAATCTTAGTTCAGTGACAAATAAAACTTCCATGACGTTCAGTAACCTCTGGCTAATTTAAAAAATAAATTGATAAAACAAATATTTCCTGATAAGTTCTCTTGACACAATTTAATAATTCATTTTTGTGAAAGTATTTTTTAAAAGATACCCAGTGCTGTTTTAACTTGTGTGCGAGGGGAAATCGTCAGTTTTCAACTGCACTTTCTTTCGGTGGGTTGTTGTTGTACGTGTGAAATCTTTCTTCTCCTCTAGACCCATTTACTAGCCCGATAATATGAGATAGCATATATACACTTGAGTTTCCTTTGTAAAACTTCACTTTTGACATACTCACATGCATTCACAACACTGCATATCGTTTGTTTTGTATGGAGATTGCAGACAAAATGACAATCTGAATACTCAAACATGCAGAAACCCCCCGCCCCAAAAAAATAAAATGGGAGCAAAGGAAGATTGTTGGATTTGAGCATTGACATCCCATAAGAGCGGAACCGTATTTCTCGCTTCCTGTTTCATCATGGGTTTAAAAGGCCATGTGACAAGTTAAATTATTTTCAGGGACAAAATCACAAAAGGCATATTTTTCTGCGTCTATTAACGAGGCACGCAGATAACCCAATCTGTTATGTTTCTTTTTTATGAATATATTTTGTATTTGAGTGGTAAGCTGCACAGTGACGCAGGTTTAAAAGCGTTAAGTATGTTTGGATTTTTTCCCCATAGATTATCATCGAAAAAGGGGAGAAACATATGAGAAAATGATTAAGATAATTTACTTGTCACGAAGACCACAAGTCCCATGTATGAATAAGCAGAGGGCCACGTTTCCCGTACAGAATCAGTCATTGTCACTTGTTTGGACGGCGAGTGGATAATTAATATATTGATTAGGCTGTCTTTATATCTTGGGCCTGACGTTATTAATTTCAAGCCGGAGGCTTATTTATCAGGTTGCCCATCTCTGGTCTGCCACGTTTGGTTGACAGCAATCACCCGGCGTGGGGGCCATGCAAAGGGGATTCTCAATTAAGTTTGTTTGGTATATTGATTTGTCTTTCAATTCTCATTCTCTAACTCGCCACATTCCTTGTCCCGGAGATTGAATGAAATGAGAATCTCCATTAAAAGTTAAGATGACAAAATTGTCGTTCTAAAATAAGCCAGGACGTTTATCCAGAGATTGAATGCCTGTTTGGTGAGTTGTTGTTTTACCTAATTTTACAACTTTCACGATAAAGTTGTTCCTACTTTATCTTAGTGAAAGTAATTTTAATCGAATTCAATGGATTTTACACATAAACCAAAATGGGTTAGTACAGGTACGGGCTTGCTCATTTTTTGGCCCCATACGGTAGAGGTTAAAGGCGGCCTCTTCTCACAAGATTTAAATTCTTATCAGAAGATGTGTCTACTTCTAGTATCTAGTATCTGACAGTATTGTGAACAGGATTTTTCTGAATAGGAGGATGCAACAACAAAGTAAATCAAACAATTGTTTTTATTTTTTATACACTCATATATATTTATTTTAAAAATTATTTTCAATTGTTAAAATCTGTTTCAATGAAATTATTTGTGCAAAAAAAAAAAGATTTAGATAATTAGTTTCCTCTTCGGAAAGATGAAGATTTTGTCATTTTTAAGAGAATTATTAGGAGATTATAAGGGAAAAAAAATTCAACTGATTTTTTATTCTGACCTTACAATAATTCTCGCTTTTCGGGTTCTTCGGGTCTGGGTGCCTTTGGCATATTGAAGTGTCGAGTACTTCCATAGCTGGAGTCACTGTATTGCCGGAAGTCAGAAGCCCTTAGGAGAGCTTCGGCGAGGGAAGAGAGAAGCCATGAATGCCCCAGATCGTTACGAGCGTTTCGTTGTTCCCGAGGACACCAAAAAGTAATTTCTTTATATGGTTTTCTCACTTTCTTGTTCTTCTAATTTGATCATTTTCCCTTTGTTATATATTCAGGGTCTCTTACGAGCGGGACACCAAGATCATCAGCGCTGCATCCTTCACTGTTCAAAGAGAGGACCATACCATCGGAAACATTCTTCGCATGTATTAGTTCTCTGTCTCCAGCTGTATTCTTCAGGTTTAGTTTTAAATTGCTCTCTCTTAATGTTCATCGATATAAACCCTAAACGTTGTCTGTATTTTTGCTATGGTTAGGCAGCTGCACAGAGACCCTAATGTATTGTTTGCTGGATACAAGCTTCCTCACCCTCTTCAGTACAAAATCACTGTCAGGGTTGGTATTTCTTGTATTCACCTTGTTGTTTAACGGACGGCTGTTGATATCTATATTTGCATTTTTTTTCCCCAATGTATAATTAGCATCTGCGAACAGTGAAATTTTTTTTTCTTTTGTTTGAGCTCAAATGCTATGTGAATTGAATTTTAATCTTTGCATCCGGAGGCATGTCAGCGTTGGCCTTTGTCCCGGGAAATATAAAAATTCATTTCTCCGTGATTGAATTAATAAATCATCAATATTAATTGTTTTATCGTTTTATCTTCAGATCCATACCACTGGTCAGTCCTCGCCTGTGCAGGCATACAGTCAAGCTATTAACGATCTTGACAGGGAACTTGATCATTTGAAGAATGCCTTTGAGGTGTGATAAGTATTCTCTCTTGTTGTTAGCCATGCGTTAATGGATGATCTTAGTTGCTAGGTAGAGTTCATTACTTGTTTACACTGAAGGATATACATCAGATGTCAGTAGGCTAGGCTTGTTTGATGGATTCCTTTCCTGTATTTGTTCTTCCCTTATTTCGACACTGTTGATCGAGTATTGCCCGCTCACAGCCTCAGCATGTCCTCCTTCATAGTTGTTAGTTTTCTATTATAAGAAGCATGTTTTATCTTTCGTGTTGCCTGCTTTTCTGTGGCGTTGGCTGTATTTTTCATAATGAGCATGAAAGTAATTTGTTCGGGAGTACATCGATGTAAGGGCTTGCATGGACCTTTCTTTTGAGAGAAATCTTGCCCGATTAATCAATGCTCCCCTAAATAATCACGGGTGATTATCCTGCTTTAATGTAGTTCTCTTGAACTGCGTATTTACTATGTCATGAGGGCGTTTTTAATGGATAGCAATCATTTCAACTTTCAAGCTGAGACAAGTCATGTATTATCACGGTAAGTGTGACAGATTTTAATGATTATTCCTGAATTGAATGAACCATGAACCTTTGAAATGTGACTATTAACACACTTGTGTGAAGTGACAGACAGACCTATCTGGAGCTTCTTTATACCAAACTCATTTTATTGAGTACCCATGGCAGCTAACACAGTCAAAATTTAATTGCAGGCGGAGATGCTGAAGTTTTCAAGGGATTACTGACTGGCATTCCTGGTGCTCATGGATCTAGTGTATGAGAGCATTTTGCAGATGCTAGTACTTAGGATTGTATATGTGAAAAATAGAAGTTTCTAAACTACAACCCACTTGAATATGGTGGTGCAACTTAGGTGGCTCTTCCCTAGAATCAGCGAATTGAACCTAAGAGCTTCGTTGAGAGTAGATTGTGTAAAGAGCAAGCAATGAGATGGATTCGATTTTAACTAGTTATGAATTCAAATACAAAACTAATTCAAATGTGTATGAGTGTTCTTATGAATTTAATAGAAATGCAAGAGAAGTGTGGTTTTGGATGCAAGAAAACAGTCTTTAGGAATTGGAATTGAAAGCAATGCTTTTGCTTGTTCTTCAATTAATTAATTCCCATGCCTCATTCAGTGTTGTATCAGTTTCGTTGAGAATGGTTGTGTCGCATTTGGGAACTTTTCGAGGCCGTAAAATTTGTAATTTTGGAAAGAAAAGCATTAACTGAAACAGCACAGAGTTTTGCTGTAATATTGAGTGCTTCTTCGGATTCACAATCAATAAGTAAGTTTATGCAGGCCAAAATAAAATTCTTTTTACGTGAATAATGATTGAAAAACTATTTATAAGTTATTTATAAGTCATTTCAAAGGGTTTTAACATCAATTGGTACATGGTTCTTGGTTATCATGGTTTTCTTGTGACATGCTGGCCTGCGGTGTGAAGTGCTCGCAGAATCGGATGAGATGTACAGATGCAACGAGTGAAGCTAATGGTAATATTCTTAACATAGATGACACATAACATGTTGAAGCAGGAATCAGATGTCTAATGAATCCGGAGGGGTCAAAATTGAAACAAAACAAAAAACCCAAGTGCCAAGTTTGCATTTCTGACAACCAGAAAACGAAACACTGTTGTGTGTCTCTGCGCGCGCGCGTGTGTTTTCCCAAAATAATAATGATCGTCTTTCTTAATCCCTCTGTCACGGCCAATCACGAGGAAGAATGGAAATCCGTTCGTTGCTCGAGCAACAAATCGATCTGCATCCGGGAAGCGTCAATTTTTACTGTTCCATTGTATTTCCGAAATTTTTTTTCTTTGAAATAGCTTCCCAAGTCTTTTCTTTCCTCTCTTCTTTATTCTCTTTTTTTTGGCTTTTGGGAAGACAATTTCAGAAAAGTGCTTGGACACCACCATCAAAGCACACTCGCGGACTGGGACTCTACGTTCTCGTTCCATGGCGATGACTTTCGTATGTTATGTTTAAAACAATGAAAAGATGAACAGGAAGAATAGGCTTTTGGGTGAGTGAAAGATTTAGTTGTGGCGTGTAAGCAACTGGTAGACCAGCCATCCGCAAAATCATGGATCCTATGTAACTCCACGAAGAATATTTAGTCCTCCCCATTAAAAAACCACCGCCACTCAAAATTGGCCAGAGAGCCCCCTGATAATGCCACTATATCATTACTAGATATATCAAAATGAACAATACTTGTATGTCCTATCACTACCAGCCTTCAAATTTAGTACTGTCCTCTATTATGTACACATGAAAATGATGATAGTCATACAGTAAATCTTAAAAAGAAGAACAAGCAAGAATGGAAGATAGATCTGAGATTAAGGCATTAAGCATGATGTGGAAACTGAAGCGGCGTGTGACGTAACAATATCCAACAGAAAGCGGGTCCTTACTTGAGAGGCTCAGAGGCTATTCATCCATCGCAATCTCTCTGGATAAGGTAACGACTTCAAATGATCCTACTGAATGCGAGAGAGATGCATTTATTATGTCTCCTGCACTGTTCCTTCAAATTACCAAAGATGAATAAATATTTGAAATAGCCAGGTCCAATTACTTGAAGAGAATTGAATTTGTACGGCCTAAATACCCAAAAGGTCGTGACTTGGTAGTGCGATGCCATGGCTTCTCGGTGACTTGCTTGGAAAATACCAAGAGAGACTTGGCGTGTCGGAATAAGGCTGAGCATGGCAGATTACAAACGTTACCTAATAAAGTGTGAAAATGAATGTGTGACAGCTCATAAAGTCCTCGTCCTCTTTCGCCGCCTGTGAACTTCGTTATATGTTTTGGGCTTTTCTATTGCATTTTCATATATCCTAGCGTTGTGTCCCGCCTTTTTGGCCGATACAGTGCAACTTGGAAGTTTTGGAGGCTCATCAAACGAGGCTGGGTTTGGTGAATGTGTGAAAAGCCCTCCCGGTTCCCTCCCTCTTCCTTCCCATTTGTTTCAACTTTTTGCGGTCCACGTTTCTCGATCAGCAGGGAAGTTATATAAAAGGGTAAAAAGGGCAGTCAATTTTTTTGCATGAGAGAGGTGGCATTCAATCTGTGACTCCATCCTGGTACACTCCTCAGTATTTCAGCTGCACTGCCACATATCTGCCTTTTCCCTTCTCTCTCACACACACATATAGCCAATTTGTTGTTGTCTGCTTGCGTACATCTGCCTATTATCAAGGTGTTAGTATCTATTTAGTTATTTACATTCAAAACAACTGCGTCGCTCCCTTCTTCTTCTGCAGTCTATCTCTGAAAAGATGGGCAGCTCTCAAGTCTGCTACTGCTGGCTCAAATACAGACATTTGATCTTATGCTTGCTCATTCTCTTTGCCCCAACTTCAATTTTCACTCATGATGCCTTCATGGCCGAAGGTTGTTCAGTTATCGCTTCCCTACTTTTCTGGTTTTTAATTTCAGTATCGCAGCTTGGCTGATTTTCATGCATATATTTCTGCAGGAAGACAAATTTCAGGCCTAATTACGGCTAACAAGGTAGGGAATCATGTTATACGGTGAATCCCTTATTTTTGGCCTTTTATGTGGCAACTTTGTCCTCGTGTTTTAGTAATTAACGTGGGGGACGTTGCATATGCAGAAGGGCATGAAAGTGCAGGGAGCAGCCATTTCTAAAAATGCCGAGATAGGCTCAAGGCCTCCAAAGTGTGAAAGAAGATGTAGGATTTGCGGACATTGTGAAGCAGTACAGGTTCCAGTTGTACCTCAAGTCCAAAGCCATAGAAGCGATTCTGCTGTTACAGCAACTCCCATCATTGCGTTCTCCAGAACTGATGATCTTTCCAACTACAAACCCATGAGTTGGAAGTGCAAGTGTGGGGACTACTTTTTTAATCCATGAATGAAACTCAAAAATTGGGAGGACCCGTGTTTGTATTGAAATTTAAATTGTGTTAACTTCAGTCATACACTCCTCCCTCTCCTTTAACCATATGGAATAGATATGGCATAGTACTTTTTTTTTTTCCCCTTGTTTTTCCTCTGCTTTACCCTTGTGTATCATAATTCACAAGAATTTTATGATCTAGCAGTTCTATTCTTTTGTTCTTTATATATTTACTGCAATTTCAGCTTGCAATGAAAAGCACCAAATACTTCTCTGCTTAGTATCAGATTAGAATTCTACGTCTCCATCCCAACTTCTGAGGGCAGATATGATGATAACTACGAGATGTTCACTAGTGATTGATTTTTTTTGCTTTTAATTTTTGCCTGGAGTAAGGTATTGGGATCAATGACAATATAAGAAGGGGAAAAGTTTGTAGCAGTGCGTCAGACAGTTCTGTTTTCGTATGTTACAAGATACAATGCATCAGAAAGGCTGAGCTATATAATTTATACCTCGAAGAGATATGCAAAAGCGGCGAAGACATACGCATCGAATGATCTCATTAATTTATAGTTTTTCATTATTCTTCACACATTTTCTCATTTCCCCTCTCAGTTAACTACCCCGTCTGACTCAGATTTCAGTGGAGCAAAGTCACAAACACCTGCGTAGCTGCTTGGTCTTGATACATTATCTCAATTGGGTTAAATGAGTAACAACGTTTCTCATGACTAGTTAAAGAAAAGAAGCGTATTTATGGAGCTTGGGTTTGGTCCAAGCCTTGAACTTTGAGCAGTTTCCAAGGGGACCAGTTATATATAGAAAAGGTTGAGAAGATGCCAGGGTAAATGAATCAGAGTTTCATTTTTAGTTCATCAGTTTTGGTGGGAATTCTGGAACGCATTTAATGCGGCTATTCATGATTAATGAAAAGCAATATACCTGCTATCACCAAGAAAGCTATCTATAGGCTCTGATTTCTTCTTCATCACTGTCGTCAGTTTCTTCCTTGAAGCTCTTCTGAATTCCCATGACGTGTGGCCATGTCTACGTCTTTGTGTTCATTATGATGGGATTTTCTGGGAAAAGTCATATTCAAAAGAAAATCTTTCAACTCAGTGCAGCAGTACTTTGTATTGTGACAACTAAGGAGATTAACGAACCATAAAGCAAGTCATTTTGAGAGGAGCTGTTACGGTTATTGTATATTTTAGGTAATTAGGCATCATGTTGTAAAGAATGTTTTAATGCTTGATTTAGAAGACTATGCCTATAACAGAAGGACTAGATGTCGGTAGAGTGATGGGCATGCGGGGAAGGGGGCTAAAAAAGGTAGTTCGCAGTTAAAGAGCTAGATGTGTCTCTGTTTTCTGTCTTTTTCCTTTTTTTGCCAAGTTTTCTCTGTCTCAAAATAACTAGCTAATATTATTTTTATCATTATTTTGAAATTTTTTTGTGATTTTCATTTTTTGCCAACAATTTGTGATTTTCAAGTTTAGATGCTGGAACAAACCATCGGAGCAGTTCTTCTTACATTTTGGACATAGGCGCCTTCGTCGTTATCTCTTTCCGTTAAAAATAAAAAAAATCACACCTCCTATCCCTTGCACTTGCATAGTACTCTATATCATCAACCACACTTTATGTAAATTATTTTTTATTTTTAAAGGTAATCCCACTACTGCAAGCTCTTGTCTGTTCCTCGCAAAGGCGAAAAAAATCTAATTTCCTTATTCCAATAATTACTTAGGAAGCCATGCTCATTATTTTACATTTTAACCTTTTCAAATTCTTTTATGTGTGTGTAGGGGCACTCTATTTTTGCTCTATTGTTTTGGGCTCAATTAGACGTTTTCTTAAAAACTTTGTTATAACCTGTGTGATCCACATGTCTATAAATTTATGGAATTTGTACCCAAAAAAAGAATTATGGAATTATTGACATAATATAAAAATTTCACCATGTTGCATTGGGCGCTCATTGAGTCATTTCTTGTAGCTAATGGGTTTGAAAAACATCATAATTAATTAATTTTTTTCCATATAAGTAAAAATAAAACTCTTTTCATATATTTTACTTTAAATTCAAACACCATAAAATTGCACCGTCTTGTATTGGAGTATGCATGTAATATCTTCAACTGAATGAAAAGGTACGAAAGCGAAATTGAAGAAAATCAAATTCCAAAGAAAATTGGGGAGCTGCCCGGCGCTGGGTTTTCTGGATAAGTCTGTCCGATTGTGAAAGGCTAATTGTAGAAGTTTCAGACGTTGATATGCCAAGGTGCAAAGCCACGACCTGACAAGCAGGGAGACGGCAATAAATATGACAATCTCTTTACCAACCCAGCGGCCGACGCGGCGGAGCAAATTCAATGCGCTTAACTAACACTCTCAACTAAAACGACGTCGTTAGTAGCACAGTTCAGCCTGCCTCTCGAACCCAAAATCTCTCCCCCTCACATACATGGATGACTGACCCGTGAGTCCGTGTCATTCTCAACCTTTCGCTATCTTCTCTCTCCCTCTTTCAGATTGCAGACTTTCCACTTTCGTTCTGCACACCACCACAGAGCAGCTACCACCACTGTCTCAACTCGTTACGTCTTGTTTTCTCACAGTACCCACCTTCTTCCCCTTCCCTTTCCAATCTGCTAACCAATCTAGCAGCACCACTGAGTTCTTGAAGGTCTGTTTCTTGTTCATTTGCTTCTGTCTTCTTGAATAAGATATGGGTTTTATGCTGGTTTCACAGTGCCTTTGCTTCTATTATTACCATTTATGTTCGTTAAGTTGCCTGCATAGTATGGCTTTGGACCATGAGGTTCTTCGAGTTGGAAGTAACATGTATGAATCTTTCAATTGGGAAATTTCCCTGGTTTCTGTCTTTTCTATATTCGAATTGAGCTTGGGGGTGTTTGATTTGGCCGGCGGGTCTTTGGGTCTCTGTCATTTTTGGATATAGTTGGCACATATAGTGTACAAAAGATGCTATTAATATCTGTTGCATGACTTGCATCTGCATTTTTTCTCTTTCTGGCCTCACCTCTAACTTTGGGAAATTTAAGATGGTTTACTTTTTGGGAATGATGTACACGTGGCCCATAAACATATATAAACCACCTTGTTCCATGAACTTTGATTTACTGGTTATTATAACCTGTGCTGCATTGAGTTAACCATGTAAGCTACGTACCAATGATTTGCCATTAAAAAAAAAAAAAGCCATTATTTATTCAAATACCTGCTCAAAAATGACAATACAGTAGAAGAAAGAAAATTCTTCTGGTCGTCTTGAACTAGAAACTTTCTGATTTTGAAGTCAACAGTGGCTTCTCTCGGCCGCGATATGACAGCATATTCTTATCTTGCGTTTACTGAATGCTTGGCAAATGGAGACTCTAGCTTCACTCTGCGGAAGACTCTGCCTTACTTTGTTTCTGATCTTCTTTTAGTCACGTTCTTTCTTATACAGATTCCATTACCACTTGCTGGCGAAAGTTGGCAGAGAAATTTATGTGTAAACCATGTTGAAGCAATTGGCTGGCAGAAACCAGAGAACCAAAGGCTTCAAGGTAAAGAACAGTCTTCAAATATTACTATTGATTGCCGGTTGCCTCTGGTTACTTTATCAATTGAAACACTCTTATGATAAGAAGAACGAGTATGAGCAAAACTCTAGGAAGACGCTTGAAAAGCTGCAGTTCCAACATGAAATCCCAAAACTGGGAAGAAAAGGCCTTCAGCCATGGATAAAGAAGCCAGAAGACTTGATTGATGACGCAGAAGAGATCATGCCTGAAAAGTTCAAGGCAAGAAGAGGAGGTGGCAATGATGAAATGAATGGACACGATCAAGATAAAATGGAAGAGGAAGATTCTGAGGAAGTAGAAGACTTGATCGATGAAGAAGACAAGGAGAGGATAGAGGAAATTGAAGAGGAAGAGGGTGAGGATACAGTAAAAAACATCGAGGATATTAGCTCATTGAAAGATAAAAGCCACGATGTGGATGAAAAATACGGAGAAGAAGAAAATGAAAACGGTGCATCCGGGGTAATGATGAGGAAAACACAAAGTACAGGTGCTGAATTTGAAGGAGGCTTAGAAAGTTCAGAAAAGACTGAAATGATAAAGCAGCAGAACAACAGCGAAATTCATGTACCAGGAACCGAGTCAATTCCTAAATGGGAAGAAAAAGTGGCAGTTGAACATGGTTCTTTACAAACTGTGCTTGCCAAAGGAAAAGATGGTATGCCTAATTTTTCTGATTCACTACTTAGAGTGGAAATGACTGAAGCCGTAGCATCCCACAATGTGGCACGGATATTGATGGAAGCTACTGGTTCTTTCCGGGAAGCAAGTGCTGGTGAAAATGAAAAGGCAAGTGATCGTGGAATTGGCTCACAAGTTATTTTGAAAAGAGCTCGACGCCTATAGTAAAAGGAGGGAAAAGTCATCTTATCACTTAAAAAAAAGTGAAAAATCCAAGACTTTTGAGGTGGTTGACTGTATTACAAACACTAGAAGCATTAATATGGATTATCTACGTTGAATAAGTAAATGTAGAAAATGCAATTGGAGAGAGACAGGATAAGGGACAAACCAGCTTGTAATTCTGGAAAGTCTTCATTCTATCTCTGCCCAACTCCAACTCCAGTGTACAAGCATAGGTTTCGGGGAAAGGGCAGGGTGAATTTGCAGGGAAAGGGTTGCTTCATAATAAGATCTTGGTCTACTTCCATGCCGGTGAACGTCACTGAAACTTTTTTTTCTTTCTCTCTTGTAGCCGAGGAATTTAAAGCGACTTGGTTAAAATCTGTGGTTTCCTAGTCAAACTGTGATAATTCTTAGCTTTCCCTGGTAATTGGTTGGATATTTTGGTACTGTTAGCAACTCATGCATATATATTGGACATGCTGTTGGGGCACCGGCCCAATTAGGAAGGCCTTCTATTGATCTGGTAAAGGCCGCTCCAGGCATTGACGGTAATAAACCAGTCACGGTAATGCAAATTAAGGCGTTTCGAGGGGTAAATATAATTGAGTTATGCCAATATTTGAATCTGACATTTCACGATGGAAGAATGAGAGGGAAACAAATTTGGTGGGGCAATCAAATAGTGTGACAGGTCCAAGTGAGGTACCATTCTGTTCTTTATTATAAGTTACTTAAACACCAAAGGTTTGCTTCAAAATAGGAGTCACTTATAGTATAATTAATGATCTTTTTCCAATTTTAACCCTATTAATTTAATAAAAAACTAATTAATCTCTCTCTCCATCTCTCTCTTAACTTTTTATTTCTTGTGCAATTCATCCCCTCCTTCTCTCTCTCTCTCTCAACTTTTAATAAGGTAAATATGAAAAGAACTGGTTAATTTAATGTATTTTTTGGTTTGCGAGTTTGGGATACAAATTACTTATAATAAGAAATAGAGTGGTAATTGAATGTGTTGGGAATGGGGAGCGTCGAATTTGTAGTGTGAATGCTGTTGTGATGTTTGTGAAAGGACAGGCGTGTAAGGTCGGGGGCGGCCCCCGCACAGAGGTGAAGGCCGCTGTCGGAGGTGCACTGAGTAACAATCTGCACTGCTTCGGCCCATGGCGGTAACTGTGGGGACTTGGGTTAGGAATATTGCCCCATGAGGACCCCCAAAAGCAGCCTTCTTGCTCCTCACTATAACAAAAGGGGATTCCATCATTCAGTTAGGTCCAAGTGGACCTACAATTAGCTTGGGGCCCTTCGTTTCTTTTTCATCTAGAGGGGCTTAGGTCCATTTGCGACCCGTTTAAGCATTTCTGTTAAGGGTCGGGTCTTAAAAATTAAAGGGTTTTCAAATATAGAAGGGCTTGGCCTGAAAATCTGTCTTGTTTTAGCATAAAAAAGAAGTCTATTTTGTTCTGTTTCTTTCCAAATTCCCTAGTGGCCTACACTATTCTACTTTTGGGTAATAAAAGTGAGGACTGAAGAATATTCAATTTTGGATTTGAAATTTGAACTTTAAAATAATTTAGATTTTATCTTTTCAGACTTATATTTGTATTATTCAGTTTGGAGCTTAATTTGGTCCTACAGACATTTATTATTTATTCTTTTAGAGTTTATATACACATTATGATAATTAAAAACTTAATTTTATTTTTTAAAATTTATTCAAGGCCTCTGGCCTTGAGCCCAATCAATTATTGTCCAACTTAAGAAAATGCCTAAATTTAATATAAAAAGACGTGCAAGTCTACGCTCACAGTCACATGAGATGCTTCGCCAACTCATCAATATTTCCGCCTTCTTCTATGTAGGTCACACCCAGTAAACTGTAAACAGTGATGGCCAGAAAAGGTCAATTATAATAGAATCCATTAGTGTAGATAATATAAGTACTTTTAGCAACAACTAAAAAAATGTTGAACACTGAAATATAAGAATTGGAGCTCGCCGGAGCTATTGTAGCTGTAATATCGCTTTACCCATCCGAATGTACTTTCAAAGTTACGTATAATGCAAAAAAGTAAGATGGAAAACACCCTCATACAGTGTTCACAACTTGACGCCATACCCTGATGAGTGACACTGGCAATTATAGCTAAATAAAGATTAAAGACGTAGGGATCTACTAAAGGGTCAAGGAAGCAGAAAACACGTAATAGACAAGGATAGCAGTTTTTTGTTCACCAAGGAGTCTCTATACATGAAACGCCATAAGGTTTACAAACACCAAAAAATTTGGTCCCTCTCTTTAATCTCTCCCACTTTTTTTACACACTTGATCCGCTGTTTTCTCTTGAGGAAAATAATAGGTTTCTGTCTCATTAGCCACTCGATTAAACCAGATTCCTTCTTGGTCAGCTAATTTGACTCCAGTGCAGATTGATTATTGGAACTATCAGATTCAATGCTCACCACCCCTATTCAACCAATGAAAATATCAAAATGAATTTTCAAGCAATCCTACTATGCTCAGATCGTCATGCTTCATCATATACTTCACATAACATGTTACACACGAAATATATATTGGTATTGACAAGAATATGGGAGAAATTTTCTAGAAGGAAAACCAATCAATTGAAGACTATTTCAACATCAAACCAATCCAAAAAATTCAACAAGCAAATCAGTATGCAAAGAAGAGGATTCAAAAAATCGTAATCTAAAACATTCTGAAACTGAAGCAGGAATTCTACACTATACTATCTAAATGACGTGGAAACCACTCAGAATAACAGCATTCTTGCTAGTAAAAGGAAAAGGTCGGTACATGGATTATGGGTAGTGCCTTGTAAAATTCAAAAACGTAAAATATCTTCTTCATTGGGATCCCCAAGATTTCATACATTGGATCTCTCCTGAGGTTTTGACTCAGGATTGAATCTTCGAGCTCCAAATCGACCACAACACCTGTTTCAGATGCTGAAACAACAATTTGTCGCCCCTCCAGCTACCCAAAACAAACCCACTGGCCACTGCTAACCCGGCAGTATCCACTCTCGACGCTTGAGGGGATTTTCATCAGTAATAGTGGTTGTCCTTGAAAAGTGAAAATGCTAAATTCTTCCAACTCATAATGACTATAAGGAATTTCTATTTTTTGCGATTTAATAGATTTTTTTTTTCAAAAATGTAGCACGAGGAAGATGTGAAAGGGGAAAAAAACAACGAAAGAAAGAAAGAACGAAGAGGAGATATGGATTAGAGAAGAGGACCAGTCGAAGAAACCGAACCAACGGAGGCAAAGCGAAGCGTGCCTGCCAGCTTCATCGTCGCGCCTTCATTTGCTGTGCCCTTTCCTTCAGTCACTGATCACCAGACGGCTTTCCACTCCACTGTTGTGATCCGACTCTTCCCATTTCCAATCGCAATCCGGTGGATCGTCGCGTCGGGTCGAATACTATTTGGCAAAACTCCATTGCAATTCGGGTTCAAGTTCATGGAGCCCGCCCAACATGTTTGCGTAAATCATTAACAATACCCCCTAAAAAAAAAAAAATAAAGCAGTAATAGTACATTGTTTGTCTGTTATGAGATTTATTTACGTTTTTATGAACGAGTTGCCCATTTTCTTCATTCTGTTTGCAATTGTGGGGATAAGGGGGCACAGTATGTGATGGCTAATAATTTGTTCAAATTTATTTGTTGAACTGTCAGACGTACTGATCATGATAGTATTGGTAGAAACTTATACTAGCCTTTGATTCAAGTTTGACAGCCTTATAATGACTTCCTATCTAATTCATCTTCATTTATCCCAATATCAAAATTTACTGTTTTAAAAATGAGGCTACGTAGAAACACAACCATATAACACCCCGGGGGGGGGATAGAACACAGGGATTTGTTGTTGTTTGGTAGTTGAGCTAATTTATTTGCTTTTTCGTAAATAAAATAATATAGTATGAGAAACAGAGGCCAGGAAGGAAGGCAGCGAGGGGAGCAAATGAAGAGTGGTCCTTTTCTGACAAGCAAATGTTGAAGCTGCGTGCAAATGCGCACATGGCACTGATCTGCCATTTGCAGACCCTGCAGAATAGGAACCACCAATTAATTTACTAAATATAAAATCTAGTCTATAATATAAAATTTATACTATAAACTAGATGTTATATTTGGAATTGAAGATAATATAATCACACTATAAACTAAATATTACATTGAGTATTAGACGTAATATATTTATACTAAAAATTAGATTTTATATTTAGAACAAAAAAATACTCTTCTATTCCTAAATATAAGATCCTTTTTATAGTGTAAATTACACTATGAAAAGAGCCTTATATTTAAGACGGGAAGAGTAGTACGTTAGGGCGTTATAATAGCAAGCGAAAGGGATGAGTAAGATAAAGCTTATGATCCAACACCCTCCTCACAAGTGGCCAACAAAATAATCAGAGTCATATTGAATGAGAGGTGATTATAGCCAGGCCAGGGGCACCTTAATTAGCATAACACTATGCCATTAGGCTTATAGAGCATTCAATTCAAATCGGTGATTTATTTAAATATTTAATGCTTTGATCTGTCTTCCACAATCCACACCACATATAGACTCCGCCCACCTGAATCGGGTTCGGTGTTTATTGCAGTTATCACTGTGACGAAGGCTACCAATGCAGTTTCAACGATTCAAATATAAAATTTTTAATTAATTTTTTATTTAACAAAAAACAGTTAGGAAAAGAAAAATCTAGACTGTCCATATTTTGGATTTCGGTGGTCAGAGTATCCTATGATGAAAAATAAACAAAGAAAAGCCAAATCAATGCCTTGGCATTTTATTGAAGCATGACCAAAATTGCGTGTTAGCTGTACCCCTGACATTAATTATGCGTTAATCCAAGAACAAACAAAGCACACATTATACTGTTTCTAAGTAAAAGCTGAGATGTCAAGTGACCGGACGTTCATTGGCAGGGCAAGAGTATAGACACAGTTTTCGATTTTATTTAAAAGCAAAGTATTCTCTCCTCCGTTAAAGTACTGTTTAATTCAGGTAAAAAAGCACTTTATTTAAAAGAAAAATAGTGACAAAATAAATAAATAACTGAATGCATGGGCATCGAATCTGAAAAAACACTGAACATGGAGGCAGTGTTGAGTCGCTTTGAGGCAGAGCTGAGGTAAGAAATCACATGTTGCCCCATTGTTTGACCATATCTTCCTCTGCAAGACTGGAGGGCCAGCCAGCATTTTCTTAGTTCTTAATCACTCTTTTTTTTTTTTGAACACATAATCTCATGTTTAAGTTACGCTTGAACAAGTGCTTAGTATTACTCGAGCCAAACAATATTGACACGATTTTTAATCGCTTTTAAACAACTGTGAATATTTGATATGCTATGGTATTGAATAGTAAGAAATGTTACCTGCATATAAATATTATGACGTGAGGGGTATTATGTCATCACTCATAGATTATAAGATATAGATGCAGAGAATTAGGCTACACTTAACTTGACATTAACAGAAAGTAACGAAAAGAGGGCAGAAAGTAAGGAAGTTATGTTTGTTGGATGGAAGAAAATGACAGTAAAGAAGCGGATTTTGAGGGCAATGAAACCGTGAAACGAGGCAGATGCGTGATGAACTCGTTGCTTTGCCAGTTTGGAAGTTCATGTATCTCCGGGTTTTTTTGGTAAGCAACAGAGAGCCTTCATGTTGACTCTTATTGGAACCACAAGCTTAGATAAAACCAAGATCTGTGTTTTAAAACTGCCAAACGGATGCTTTATTAATCCTCTGGATCTCACATCTTAGACAGACCGATATTACCTATTAATAATGGAGAGAAATTAGTTCGAGGTATATTATTTGTTTGATCATGGCTGGAATTGCGAAGTAGAATAGGATCTTTAAACTATGAGAACCCTTGGCTAAGCTCAACGCCTCCTTGAATGTTGAGTGGTCAGGCACTGTGAATATAAAGAAAAGAAAATGGGGTGATGCTTACATGGAGGTGATGTGAGCGTGAAGTGTGAGTGTGCGTGGGTGTGGTCCCCGAAAAAGGGCAAAAGGGCACAGAGTAGGTGGCCTCTTACATGAAAAAGAGCCTTGTTTTGGATTTGATTCCTCCTCGCTTGGCTCTGTCTCTTTCTCTCAATCTTATTTGCAAATCGGCGCCTCATCTCAAATCTCGATACATAATGACAATCCATTTCCTGCCTATTGCCTGTTGCCTCTAATCACTACTACTCATTAACACTGCACTGTTTAATGCCTGCTTTAACCCTAACTAAAATCACGGCCCCCACATTCTACATTCTACACTGATCCATCCTACTTTGGCTCTTCCCTTGCTAATCTACTACGGTCACCTAACATGTAACCCCCCTTCTTGTCTAGTCCTCCTATCAGAAAACGACTCCATTCAAAGTCAGCCTATATTAGGTTAACAATTATCTTCAAACCCCCACATCGAAGCTAGTACATGGCATGGCGCATGCGTTCTTCTTGTCCCTTGGCAATCACAAGAAAGCCTTTTCAACTTTTCAAGTGCTGTTCTTGTAAGCTGCAAGTGTTAACATAGCATTAGCGGGAAATAAATGAACATTACGACCAACTTTATGGCGTTCTTGAAGGGGAATGAATCCCTTGACTCTTCTCAGCAAGTAACACGGTTCGCACAGATATAATGCATACGTTTTTTTGGGTATCCGGTTTAAAAGCCAACAAAGAGAAGTTGCCAGCCCCAATTTGACACAGTCTTATTGTACTCTTTACACCTTCTTTGACTCCAACATATAATATAAAACACAATGGTTAGTGGCCACATTAACAAAATTAAAAATAGCCTTTCATATGATTTCCCATTGACAACCCAAAAACCTTAAAAGGGAAAATCAATACAAAGCCACACATCCTAAATAAAACAATCAACAAAGCGAGCTCTGAGCCTCTAAACACCCTCCCTCTCCCTGTACAGCCTGTAAATTGTTTGTTAGTGAAACTAAAATAAAAATGCCTCACAACAAGTCAAAACGACCAACCCCACTATTTAAAAAATTTAAAAACGACGGGGGAGAGCCGAAAACACGAAACGAAGAGCGAACATTCCAGATCATCACCCTGCCAGATCCTGCACATGGTTTAGCTCCTTCCTCAGCCGTTGAGAGAAGAGCCTGCAGGCGTCCATGCTCAGATCAACGGCTGCCGCTAACGCCACAAACGCCGCTGCGTCCTCCGTGCAGTTCACGTGCGGCACGCTCACCTCCACCGTAGGTTTGCTGCACTTTCCCTCACCCTCCACACTCCCCGACATCACGAACCCTCTGTACATGCAATATGGCCACAGACCATATCCAAAATCACCGCTGCTCCTGGGGCTGCACGCCGGGGACGTCGAGCTCCCGGGGGTGGCGCGGCCGTTCGAACTATTGCTGCCTAGGTCGATTATGAACTTTCCTCCTTTCTTTGAGCTCAATGTGGACTCGGCTAGGACGATCCCGGGGGCCCCTACGGCGCCGTTGGTTACGGTGTCTGGTATTAGCTCAAAACGATACCCAAGGCCGTCGGAGCCACCACGCTCGCGCCAAGCTTCAAGTCTTCCCCAAGGTTTCCATGTGCCATCGCCCGGTCGAAGAATAAGCCATGAGCCAGGGTTCGAACGGCTGACTCGGTCTGAACCGGGGGAAGCGACGAACGGCGTCACCATAGACGCAGCAGCTACCGGCGACCCTGAGAGGTCGTGAACCGTGACGGACCATCCCTTCCGTTCTTTACCCGGTCGTTCTCGCTCGCTTCCGAATGAGGTTAGCCAGCTTCTAGAGTTGACTGGGTCTAACTGTAAAGATCTGCACACCAAAACAGCACCGCGAGTATTAGAGAGCAGAACTAACGGTGAGCCCATGAATGACCCCCAAATGATTAGATTGCCTCCATAATTACGTGCTCGAAATCGGTGTAATCTTAAAGCAACAGTTTCCGATTTTAGGAAGACAAGGTTTATCTTTAGCTTTCAATTTAATCGGAAAGAGTAAAGCATACGAAATGTCTAACCATACGAGCTTCTCCGTACTGTTCCTATGAACCTTTACTCTTACACGGATTTCTATTACAGTGGTAATAAACGATGTAATCCTAAATTGGCAACGTCGTTCGCCAGTCACCACTAATTTCTAATACCAAATAGAAATTGCTTCAAAAGCGTGACAATGTGAAAAGGCTAAGGGGAATCAAAGGAAAACTAACCTGGAACGCTGGTTCCAGTCACCGGTGTTCCTAAAACTAAATTTGCACGAGAAGACGGGCTGCCTTATGTTGCCTTGGATCTGGAAAACCTGAGGGCTGCACTCGGGCTCGCCATCGAACTGAAAAACGAATCTGGGATCGGGCTCGGCCCTGACATTTAAATGAAACTGGGCACAAGAGCCCTTGGCTTCCCTCCCGACCGTAATCCAGCCGTTGTGGAAGACAGCAGCCTTAGTTTCCGTTCCCGCCAGATCCAAGGGCACGGACACTCGGCCCAAGAGCTTGCCCAAGTTGACTCCACAGGTGGTGCCCCTGCGGCCAGTGTAGATGGAAATTTTGAGGCAGGGCTTGGCGCCGAAGAAGGATTTAGCGGCGAGGCGGTCGAGCTCGGACTTGGTGAGGTGAAAAGTGGCGGCGGCCTGGGGGAGTTGGGAGTCAGGGAAAGCGTGGTCGGAAGGAATGAAGGGAACGAGGGCGGATTGAAGAGGGAAATTCTTGAGTCTGATTTTGCAGAAACAGGGAGAGGAGGAAGGATGGACGACGGAAGGAGCAGGCTTGGAGGCGACGGGAATCTTGAGGGCGAGATTAGCGACGGTGAGGCGCACGAAAGGGCAAGGATCCATGGAAACAACAAAATGCAATGAGGAAGGAAGGTCAGGAAAGGGAAAAGGGAGAGAAGAAATCCGGCGGAGAGGAATGTGCAGACAGGGAAGAAGGAAGAAGGCAGAGAGTGAGGAGCTTCATGTGAGGGAAGAGGTGCAGAGCAAGGGTAGTGGGTCAGAGAGAGATGCTTTTGTGTGAAGACTGAAGAAAGAGAGGGGGGAGGGGGCGATTCACGATGGGGGGTCAGAGAAGGCGAAGGGAGCAAGCGTTGGAGACTGGAGGGGGCGAAACGCCAAGTCTATATTGGCAAAATGGCAGAGAAAGACGGAGGTTGGAGTACAGCTGGATACAGGGTGTCACCAGTGGCAGCGGAACCGAAGTTGGACAACCTCTCCCTCTCTCTCTCTCTCACCAATTCTACTGCTAATTATGTGTGGCCCCCACTTTCTCGTATCAGCAGCACCCTTTGTCGTTGTGGTTTGATATTGTTATTATTATTATTCTAAATTCTAAATTCTAAATTTTATTCTAAGTAATTAATATTTTAGTATTTATTTGTTACAGCCTTGGAGCAGTTGGAAGACGGAATTGCCATCTCCAAATCTGAATTTGAGAGAGTGAACTGATGCGTGGGTGGCGTGAGGAGCATCCCCCACACGTGGAGGGCCAGCAGAGTATAATTAATGGAGTATGCGAGTGTGAGAAAGAGAGGGGATCAGTGTCAATGGTCTAAAGTTGGCGTGGGTTAATGTGTGTCTCTCTGCATGTGATTGGGTTGGGATGGGCGTTTGATTTGAAGCAGTTGAGAAATGAGAAGGGGCAAAAGGAGAATTTCAATAAATAAAAAATTTGGATAAGGAACAGGTGGGGAATGGCGGGAAGCATGTTCCGTAAACAAATAGGTACACTCTATTACCCATTGAGGATGTGATATATATATATATATATATATATCTATCCAGATATATGGATTTAAGAATGGAGGATATGAGGGTGGTGGTGGTGCTAAACAACTCACAAAAACCAGCATGATCGTTTCATAATTACCACGTCACTGTAACGTCACTGTAGTAAAACTTTTAGTCCCCAGTAACGTTGCGCCAAGGTTTTTTTTTTTTTTTTCCTTTTTTTATTCCGCGAAATCTAAATTGGGTTAGAGCATCATTACCTTTAATTCATGTGATTTTTTTTTTTGACAAATTTCATATCATGTAGTATTGGTTCCTAAAATTCACAGGGCCTCTTGGTACTTTCATCTCATATTTCGGTTCCAGCGGAAATCAAATATTGATTCACTTTTTCAGAAATAAGGAACAGATTGCCTCCAACTTTTTCGTCATGTATTAAATTCTGCGCATGACCTTAGGGAAAAAAAAAGAAGCAGATTTTGGGGGATGAAATTATAAACTAAATATTCATATGATATAAAATTATTAATACAATAAGCGTCTGCCAATGATTAAGGAACCGGACAGTCAGACCTATCGAACCGTCAGTTGGATTTATTAACGGGTCGGTTTAAACCAAAAAACCGTTCATGTGGTTCAGCTAGATTGGACAAGAGTTGAGCTGTCATTAAACCAGAAAACCGGACGATTTTTTAGCCTGACTGAAAAAATACTAAAAAATTAAAAAATAGAAGAGAAATAAAAAAAATCCAACCCCCTTAAATGTCCCAATATATTTTAAAACTATTTATAACCATGTAGTAATATTTCATTGAAAATTTTACATATTGTGGTGTTAAAATCGTGAGTCTGGCCTTTTTGTTTTCATGTCTAGTCTATCTTTTAAAACAATGTTTTAATTTGAATCAATTAATAATTTTTAATATTATTAAATATTTTAAACATACATAAATTTAAATATATAAGGTTTTAGTCCATTTTCAATGATGCCGTTGTAATTTTAAATTATTTAAATGCATTTGTAAATTATTTAATAATTTGATATATTTTATATATATTAATTATATGTATATAATATTATTTTAAATTAATTATTAGGTCACCACTTTGACCAATTAAACTATGAGCCGTTGATATTTCCAATTTAACTTTCATCCGGCTTCTGAAACATTAGAGTCCGCTGGATGCCTCATTTCTTCTTCCCCCATCATTTCTCGCACCCATTCGTCAACGGAGTTATTATCCAAGCTTGTGCCTACTTCATCACCATGACCGTTGGATGCTTGGGACGCGCACAGCACAGGCGTGTGTAATGAGACAGCTCGCAGATTCGTTGCTAATTTCAGAGAGAATTATGACTCGGCTTTTATGTTTGTTTACAATTATACCAAATCCAAGCAAGCATTCAACAAAGCACAATTTATTCACATATCATCATAAGCCTGTTGATATCACCATTCTTATAACAGTACTAGGTCATGTTTAGATTCGTATTTAGAATCATTTATAAATACGTTTTACGTAAGTCAGGATAACTCTCATCTTACATATTTACTTCATATTACATAAATCGTGATTCAAAAACTGTTTATAAGCTATTACAAACATGTTTTTAATCCTTGATTTTTATTAACACACGTCATTTTGCCTTTAAGTAGTCAAATCAGATATTGCCTCCAATCTTTAATTTATTAATAATTAGATAATTAATTGAGAGATATTTAAAAAACTAATTAAGTTATTCTATGGCTATTTTTCAATTTGAAAAACTCATAGCTTTGAGTTTTTAATCACTTTTATGCCATTTTTAAATTCAAATTATGCCTATTTAAAAAAATCCCAGGAGAAATATATATTTATATATATATTTTTAAAGAACACAGTGCATGGGGAAACTATACCAAGTATTATTCGAATCTGAGCTGGATTCTCTGAAATGCTCTGATATTCTAATATTTACAAAGTCATGCAGAGGGGCTGACATCTAAGCTCGATCCGGCACGCCATATTCATCGCCAGACGCTATTTAATTTAAATTAAATTAAGCTAGCAAATAGTGGGGAAAAAAAACAGCATAGTAGCGGTCATAAGCTACGTGTTAAATTAGGGGTACAATACCACAAATTTATTATTTGTTTTTCCTTTTTGTCCTGTGCCTCTCGTGAAGTGGGAGGCACGTGATGTTATCATGCTCTCCATAATTATGTAGAGGTTTCCTTCGCTTCGGCCCCGAGTCCCAATATTTAGGCCCTACGCAGAGAAATTATTTTGGGATAAAGACAAGAACGAAACAAAAAAATAAGCAGAGGAAAAAGAAATATTTGTAACTCATTAAAAATAATTTATGAAATGCTGTTTGCTAGAATAAAAATAAAAGAACATGGGAATAAATAAAAAGCTTGTCTTTCCTCTGAGCAACTCTGAATTTTTTTTTTTGCTAAAGCATAGATATCCTCCTATTAGAAACAATTCTATTCGAAGCACTATCTGGTACTAAATGTAGGTACCTCTCTCAATTAGAATTTAAATCTTGATTCGTCACACTGTAAGAGATTAGCTCCTTATACTAAACCAACAGGGAGTAACTATGAAAATAAGCAATGGTGTTTGAGTCCCCACATTGTATGGCATTATTTAAATTTAAATGTTAGTAGGCCTGATCTGTCGGGGCAAAAACAAAAATTCTGATGAGGTCTAATTCTGTAAGGGGTACAAAACGGCCTCTTTTTGTTTTTTTTTTTGGGGTACAAAACGGCCTCTTTTTGTTAGTCCCAAGTCTCAACGGAATGTTACTTGGACCACTTTCCTCAAGTAATGGGCTAAGGAATCTATAGGGGACAAAATTTCATTCACAAGGCTAGGCCCATTAAGTAGAGAAGCCCACTAGGAAGATTATTTAATAGCCTGCGATGTAATGGTCTGCAAACCCCGGGGAAGATTGGCGGCCCAAGAGGGGGAAAAAACCGACTAGCAATCGAGGTTAGTTTGGGAATTTGGGGGGGGGGTTGAATTCTCGAGATGATGTTAAAGGATGCAAATGAAAAAGGATGAGGGACGTCCCGGAGTGAGTTTGGAGGTTACCTCACAGCACCGGAAGTGATAAGAGTTCGAAGATGTCTGTCTCGGCTATGTCTATATTTAGCTCCAGATTATCGATTCCGGCTCAATCCGTGTCGCCGCCGTCGTTCGGGAGAAGTGGCCCCGGGAATTTGAGAAAGGGATCTGCGAGAGTCGGAATAGAGGGATGTGGGTTGGCGATAGAGTGCTCGTCGAGGCCGAATAAGAAGGCGACGGCGCACCATATGAAGACGAGGCCGAAGAAGACGCAGCCGTGGGATATAAAGAGGAAGCCCACTGTGTACCCTCCGCTGCCGCCGCTGCCTCCTGACTGGACTCTGGTTTCCCCGGCATCGGAAGCAACCGATGATGCTCCTCCTACTTCCCAACCAGCTACTGCTGGTTAGTTAGTAATCATATTCTTAATTCTTCTTGTGTATGAGATGTTGTTGTACTTAAAGCTCACACTTTTGACGCTGCTGTTTTTCGTTATGGCATTCATGTTTCCCCTTCCGAATACTCTCATGCCTTGTGGCCAAATGCAGTTTCTCGGTCTCATGGGGAAAAGAGTTTTTATTTTCGCGCCCACTATGATTAGTCATTGCTAATTTAGTTCGTAGTTTGTGGCAACGATTGTTTTTGTTGGCAATAGCTTAGCTAGTGCCTAGCGGACTGAGTTAATCCTGGAAACTGGAATGGTTTTATAGATTCTTTGCTACGGCATATTCTGCGTAGGAGACAGATGCAACTGAATTTACATTCCATTTACAAAGGGTTAATGAAATTCTGCAAAGCAAACTCTCCCCTTCGGCTATTTACAGCTAAAAACTGTCATTAATACATTTGCAATCCATCTACCTATCTCTCTAGTTAGAGAGGAGCCGTTGTAAACTATAAAGGAAGAAAAATCGATCTTGCTATCAACATTTGTGGTGGCAATCACGATCGCTCCTTCAAATCGCAGTGCAATAAGTACTGGCCCCTTGCTTCTCCAGTCATAACAGTGTGTAGCCACGAGGCTCTTGAAACACACACAGGACCGTCTACTGTAAATACTTGCTGATGCAACGAGTCACACATAGGCATCAATTGTTATTTCCAGTGGCTGCACCAGGTTTCAGTCACAAGATTAGTCTAGCTGGCGTGTATAGGATCAAGGTGCAATTCCAACCCGAGTTCTCATCCTGGAATTTCTACCGGGATCGCAACAAGTGGGAAAAAAAAGAATTAACTAATATCCATGGTTCCCAAGGTACTGCAGGAATAGAGACGCAGATCACGCTTACCTCATGGAGGCACTAGCGCTTCCATCATACGCTGTAATATGAATTCTACCCCGGATTTTTCTTGTACTTTCCAGGAGCCAGGCTCAACAGGAAGTCTGTAAATATATGTTCATATTCTGGCATCTTTCCATAACCTGCTTCCAGTTAAAACCATGTTGAGACCATAAAGGATAGTAAAAAGACAGCGTGTACTTCAACTTAAGGGAACTTCATAGTTATATCTAATCCCTGCAATCACGCAGGTAAAAGAGAAGGTAGCTATTTTTCTAATAATTAGAGACAAAAAAAAAAAAAAGAGGAGAGAGAATGGAGACGATGGTCTTAAATATTTTCAGCGGTAAATATTAGTAGAATTAGGCAAATTGCAAGATCTGGTTTGTGCGGGGTAGAGGAGTGCACTTGCCCGGGAAGTAGTTTATGTCAATGACGTAATAAACATCTCTCTTTCCAAGCTCTCGTATGATATCCAAATTGAATAGACGCAGGCCCTGCGAGCGAGCATGATGGAACACAAAGTAAGAACACAGTCCATTCATCAACGACGTGCAGCCATCAAATGGATGGACTGCTAAGTTACCAGTCGTCTTCGAAGTTCCTCGGCAAGTCTCTCAAGCAAAGGTCGTGGGGGAAGCTCTGCACGGAGAGATCACGCAAATTAGAGGAAAGACAAGATACTATATGACTAGATACTATGAAAGTCAAGTTCTAAATTTTGAAAGCATGGCAGTATGCATTGTTTCTTCAGATGCATCGGTCTCTATTAACAATCCTTAAAACTAAATCCCTCAAAGTGTGAATGCATAGAAAATAAGTCAACAGAACTTGAAATTTCAACATTCAATAATCATACCACCGAATCCCAAATCAGGCCAGACTATTCTTTTTTTTCTTATTTCCCCCGATGCAAAAGCAAAGAAAGACTAAACTAAGAAGCTAAAAAAGAAAACACGCCATCTGTAGGAATGGCAAGTAAGCCGGCGGCAGGCGCAGGGCCTTTTTAACAAACCAGCTTCAGTAAGGTCCTCTCTTTTGGTCCAGAGGACCTCGACAACCCAGTCACGAAGGGTCAAATTATGAGCTTCTCTAAAGACATCCCAATGAACGAGCAAATCATTATTTCCTTCTCTGATCAACTTCAGTGCTTCAGAGCAGGCCCGACTATTCTTTTAAGAAAAAGGAATTGGCATCTTGTAGATGATTAAGCATCGATCAATACATCATCAGTATATATTAAATTTATAACAAGTCTCACCATTCCCAGACAAATACTATTTTGTGACCCTACAGAACCAATCAGGACCAATTTTTCGCTGGTGTTATGCATGGCGAGGTAGAGTCGCATTCCCTATTAGGGTTTTGGTTCTTTCCCCCTCTCTTTTTAGGGCGAATAATGCTAAAACCTGTCTGAAGAAACTGTTGGCCAATAAGGTCGAAAATGCTTTACATGGGCTAGTTACATCATAACTCACCAGCAACGATGGGGTCCAGATCTGCATCATCTGCGGAAGCTGTAGCACAAGAAACCCTTGGAAAATAATATATGCCATCATCGTTGGAGAGTTGCCGTTTGCAAACATCAGGTAGGGAAAACCGTCTGACTACCTTAATAGCATCACCAACTATATAGACCTTGAAGAGCACGCCTCCTATTACAGAGAAGAAAGGGCAAATGGATTATCTATGTGCTAGTAGCATCTTAGACATAATAATATTGCTAGGCAAATGATTATCTGCTTACCATGGTTTACAAACTCTTGGAGAACAAGAGGAGGTTCTAGCTTTTGCAGAGAATATGGCCCATAAGCAAGGGATAATTCATGGGACTTTGCACTTCCATCAGCAACAAGGGGCTTTGCAACTAGGATGGTTTCGAAATTGCACACATAACAAAGAGGGGGAAAAACTGTTAAAAATTTGCCTCTCAGGGCTAGTGCAAATTAGTTAAGTAGCAGCTAAACTAATCTTGCACACAAAGGATCCCCCCCCCCCCAAAAGATAAAGCACAGCACGGATAGTATTGCCTTCCTATTCTCATATGTCTTACATAGCCTCCACGGTTCCAATAATTTCTCTTGCAGTAGACAGGGACATGCTTCATGCCCAGACCAACTGCAAAATTAACAGAAAGATAGCACATGCTTACCCAGGGGCAATATCAGCCCAGCTCTGTTAACCAGCTCAGGGATAGAAGATGCGTCCTTCTTGACCACTAGCTGCCTAGGAATACAAACTCTGCCTGCATTTTAATTAACAAGAATAATTTTTATTGGTCAAATTTACTTGACAGAAATGAGCATACAGATTGTAATTCCACTTGGCCACACTTCAATCAACATTTCTCTTTCATTGTTTGGAAAGAGAGATTACCATAGGATTCAGAGAGGTTCAAATCATCGACAGCCTGAAGCATGTATTGCCTATTGCGTATATGTTGTATGGCATCAGGAGGATCCAGAACAGTAACTTCAGGGTGCGACAGCCTATAATCCTGCAAATATAAAGAGGAGGTAAAAAGGTCAGATTGTTTATCCATAATTAGATAAAAATGAAACATACAAACTTGCGTCCCAATTACATAAAACCCTTTGTTTTTGTTCACAGCAGACCCCTTGTCACTCCAGAATATTATATCCATGTCATAACAAAGCACATATAGCATCCCAGTAGAAACTGCAATTCAGGCTATCATGAATATTTCACCTGACCAACGCTCAAGAGACGAAGAAAAAGGGTTTAGATAAAAGAGATGAACAGAATAAATTTATAACTCTTTATTTATCAAAAAGACATGTATGAATTTTGAAGTCACCAAATCTTCCAAAGCATCATTGCAACGACTTAACTCCGAATTCATAAAGTAGAATGGTTTGATTAAAATACTGCCAAACACGATAAAGGTAGTAAATTCAATCGATTAAAACTTGTTCCTTTTTCCTCCTTCAATTAGAACAGGTTTGGGCAAATACACAGGGTATCAGTCAAGAAAGCAAGTCAGGAAGTAACTGCATATAACTGCAAAGTAGACAGCTAAACACTAATGGGATGCTTTACAAATGAATGAATGATTGTCACACTAACAAAATCTGGTAAGTGAAAGACATGAGATGGCAAGAACACTTTTAATAGTAACAATAATAAGAAGAAGAATACGAAGAAGCACTAAGTGGTAAAATGATGCAGAAAATTTGACAACCTAAAACCACAAATTGTCGCTTTGCTAAATCACAAAATACTCAAAAGTAGTCCAGGAGAAAAGCCCATTACCGTATTTACCTCCTAGATCTAGAATTGCAGCTAGCGCTACAGGCAACTAGAAGCTGAGAATACAAAAGAAATTTGGCGTGGGATCTCTCTAAGACAGCGAAATGGGGGACAAGAATCCCCGGAGAAGTAAACTCACTCCGAAATTTTAAGAAAAAATATATATTTATTTGTTTCGGAAAGATTTGCCAGAAAACCTGAAAATGTCAGCCAGAGGGCCATGAGAATAGTAAACACCGTCACTTGCTCGAACCCATGAGGCCTGGACCTCAACTACTGGTTCATGAATCATTACGAAAGATAGAGGAAGCACTCTGCAAATTATGTCAGACGGGATGTTAAAAAACTGGTCGTTGACCAGCGTTTCCATTGTTCATTTCATCCCGATCCTAGCACCAAATACATGGTGGAAAAAAATACAGCAGCAAACAAGACGTTTGATTAAACACAAAGTATGGCAGAGTTCTATGGAGTTGTAGGTGAAAGGAAAACTGAACCGACCTCAAGAATCTGGCGCCACTCTTTCCCTGATAACTGCATTCCCCCAGAATAAGAAATAAAGAGAAAAGACGCAGTCGGTTAACAGAGCAACAAATCTTTAGAGCCTGTGGTACGGATTTACAGGCAGGAAAATAATAAAAGATTTTTTAGGTGGTGTGTGCACCAGTGCATCTGGTGAGAAGCAGTAGAAGAACAAAATGTAGGACATTGAGGAAAGAACAATTCTAACCTTCTGCAACACAATATCAAAAGGACCTTGATCTGAAAGAGGTCTATTATGATCAATAGCAACGAAGAGTATCCCCTTGTTCCTGCACAAAGATTTGCAGCAATGGTAGTCAATCTACGAAGGCATACTGCCGACAATTTTATCTCATGCATGAGCACTGAATAGAAAAGAAAACATAGCTGGAAAATATGGTTATCTATTAAAAATATTAGGTTTCATATAGACAGAGAAATCCATAGACAAATCTATAGTGTCATCACTGCATATTGACGAAATTTGAGTCAATGTCATGATCTTTTTCCATAAGGGTTCCGGTTCTCCAAAAATCAAATGTTCTTTAAAAGAATTGGGAAACGGTAAAATATCCACTAGCAGATACTAAAAAGATTACATGGTTACTTTTCACTTGCACGCGGACCAAATGAAAACGACCAACGTTGTACGAGCATATTCTTAGCAGAAAAGAACTTCAAGTTAATATTCCTTCCTCCGAAAGAATGGAACCCTCCGGATACGACGTGAGCAACTTTAGAATTTGAAATAAATCGAAAGAAATAAGTTTGGAAGAACACTGGAGGAGGATATTAATAATCAATTGGTCGATGTAGGCTTATATTAATTGGTTAATGATTAATTTTTACCTAGCCAAACCCTCAAGCTTTGGCTGCAAAAAGCTCTTGGTCTTTTTAGAGGTGAGAGCGTAGCCAACCACAACTACCCTCTTCTGCGAGGGAAATCCACCACCATTCACAACCGGACAACATTCATTCTGGCCCAAAGTTACACCCTCCCCTTCCTCGACCTCACCTCCATTCCTGTTACTAAAAGGCAGTTCTTCTATCAACCTCATGGGCGCGCTTTTCCCTGGAAAAATTTCCAGGTGGTGCCGAAATTTCCCAGGTGCCCCAAGAAAGAAAAACAGAGAGAGAGAAAGAACGAGAAAGTCGGAGTGGAAATCTCGATATGAAGTGGAAAACCCGTAGAAGAGAAAGCGAAAAGCGAGAGAGGAGGAGACCCACGGAGAGGTGAAGAAATAGAGACAGAGAAAGCGGGGATTTTCAGGAGGTGAAGAAAGGAGTACACAATACAACAGAACCCAATACAGGGCGGAGAAGTGAGGGGGAAAGCGGAGCATAAATAGGGGGGAGGGGGGAAGGGGAGAGAGATCGGGTGGTGGTGAGCTGTACAGAAGTGAGGATCCTGAGCAGTAATCATAATTCCACGCGTTAGAATCACGCTTCGGAGTTGCGTTGTGACTGTTTTCTGTCTGCCCCGACCAGTCACGCAGTAAAGATCATCTGCCACGAGGCGCAAGCGCAAATAACATTGTATTGCTGCCTAGTGCCTACTCCTATCCCCTGCATTTATTACGTAAAGCAAGACACAGAGTGACGCATTAACATTTTTAAACTAAAATAAGTTATTCGTACCGCTCATTATGCCAACGGAAACAATAGTCACTTGTCTATTATGCTCGTCTAATTTTATTTATAAATCATTTTTTATATATTTTAGTAGATTAAAAAATTTTAAATTTTATTAACTTTTATTTAAAGTTTAATAATTTTTAATTTTATTCTTATATAAATATACAAAATATAATACACAATAATAAATAAAAAGTAAAATTATCTATTTATACAAAAAAATTTCTCAGTACCCGAAAATAGATCAAAAAATTTCTTTTCTCTCTGTCTTATAAATAGAACTAGAAGAGTACATTTGATGAATGTTTATTAAAAAAAAACAAATATATGTTGTGCATGTGCGCGTCCTTAATATAAAAGTTCATTTGATTTTAATTTTGATTTTAAATATAAGACTCTAATTCACTTTATCTATCATATTTATTTATTTTTTTAAAAATAGTTCTTATAGGAATGGTAGTTTTAACTAACACACTTGATTAGTGATGATGTTTTAGGAAAGACAACACATATTTATTATAAATAACTAATTTAACTAGTTTTTTTAATCTACTCAAATTAGTCAAATAATGACCAAATATAGTATTAGCTAGCACTACTATTTAATAAATTTTTTAACATGTGTAGTGTTTAAAAAAATAAATAAATATAAGAGATAAAATGAATTAAATTTTTATATTTAAGATCAAATTAAAAGTAAAAAAGACAAGTTCTAATACTAAGTACAAGAGCTAGTATATTAGAAGAAAAAACTAGAAGTTAGGAGCTGGTGGGTTATATGAAGTCTCCTAATTACGAACAAAACGGCTTTTTATGAACTCATTAAACGCAATGGTAAAACACATAAGCATTTAAAAAAATAATACTAATTTGACCAATTATTTTTAAATACATTATGCGTTCTTAAAATAAGATGCATCATGCTCGGCTTATCGTTCAAAATTTAATCAAATTAGGTATTACTTCTTCCGATCCGAAATATAAGATCTATTTTGTAGTATAAAGTGTACATAACACTATAAAATATGTCTTATATTTAGGATCGGAGGAGTATATTGCTTCTCAGAGTATACCCTGAGGGATTCATTGATGCAACGATGTTTCATTCGCTTTTTAATTTTCAGCTCTTGATTTTTAAAATCCAAGGATTAAAGAAATAAATTAGATTATTGATTACTTTTTTTACTGAGAGTTTGATATTCACTCATAATCATTATTTTCACTTGATATGGATGCGTGTTTTATTATACAGTACACTTTTACCTGTGTCATGGATGTCAATATAAAATATAAAATCATGAGTGTAAATAATTATGTTTAATAACACGTGAAAGGTTGATAAAACACTATTATCTCTAATTCTTAATATGAGAGGTGGTTTGATTTTTATTTTAGTTCTAAATATAAGACTCAAACCTACTCTGTCTTGTATTTATATATTTTTTTAAAATAATTCTTGTAGTGATGATAATTCTAGTTAGTATACATGATTAGTAGGAGTATTTAAAAAAATAACTCCTATTTATTATAAATAACTATCTTAACTATTTTTTAAATTTATTTAAATTAACCAACTAATTTTTGTAATATAACGAACAATGCAATCTGAAACACACAAAGGCATAGAAAAATAAGATCGTACGATAAAAACAATAAAGATACGAACACTTTCAGTTGAACGTGAAAATATATGTGTGTGTGTGTACACACACATATATATATATTACTCCCCCTCTTGATTATAGGACCAAATAACACTTCTGCCACAGACTAACCATGAAACTAAAATCCTGCAAAAAGCGTCTCGAGAAGTTACGGCGGAGGCTCCGTTTCTTTTGTTTTCTTAGTCTCTTATTTCATAATACCTCTTATTTTTAATATAAGGTTTTATTTAATTTTTATTTTGATCGTAAATATAAGATTTTAATTCACTTTATTTCTTATATTTATGTTTTTTTTAAATAATCCTTCTAATAATATTAGTTATAACTAATATACTTGATTAGTAAAAATATTTTAAGAATACAATACCTATTTATTTTAATTAACTAACTTAATTTATTTTTTTAATCTTTTTAAATTAGTCAACTAATTTTTATAATTAAGATCCGATGTAGTATAATTCAATCCTTCATGCGTATGGGAGGGACCGATGCAATTTTTAATTTTGAGAATATTTTTCCATTTTGCTCACCAGTGTAATGATCAAAATTAAAATTATGGCGAACAACCGTACGTGGTTTCTGCAAAAGAAGAGAAGGCTTTGAGAAGACGTGACCTGGCATGATGTCCGTCATTTGCAGCGGGGCATATCTTTATAACACGTGTGCCATATGCGTTTCTTTTCCTTTCCTTAACATTTGATTTGAGCTTAATACAAAAGACTTTAATTTTATTGTCATTTCTTATTAAAATTGTAACATCTTTATTCAAAATTATATGCAATAAAGATAATCTTACAAGTCTCAACTGAAAAAACGATATTTTCTAATTTTATAAGTGGTAAGTATACGCGGGCGTGTGTGGTGAGTATATGGTTAATTTTTTTCCTTTAAGTATAGATATTATCCTTTTAAAAATAATTATATTTAAAATACTGTCATACAGTATATATGAACACTTTTTTATAATATAAATTTGAACCGCATTCTGCCAGGGTGAGAAATTAACATTTTTTCCCTATATTTTAACCGATGCGCCACAAATTTATGTTCTCGTCGCTAGGAGTTGGCCCAAACGCGTCCTTGTCACGGAGGCAAAAAGATAGAACGTGGTATGGAATAATGGGGCCCAGTGCATGCATATGGTTGGCGGATTAAATAAAACAAACAGATTTTTTTTTCCCCAGAAACAAAACAAATGGCGAAAGCTTTGTCGAATAAAATATCACAATTAAATTGTAATTAATGATGTTTATTAAAAAATTAAAAAAATTGTGGCTTTCAAGACAGTCACGGGTCGTATTAAAATAAAACGACTCATGTTGCTGGTCAAGAGAACAGGAAGTTATTTATACACAGATTCTAAAACCCCACCACCCCGAAGTAGTGCAGCGATTTCATTATGAAATCGGAATTTTACTTTTAAATTTCATAAGTATGTTTTTCTTTCGCAATAAAAATATCAAGTTTTTCTTCTTTATAGAAATTTTACTTTTAAATTTTTCAATCTAGATATTATTTTACTTTAATGTGAGAAATATTGTTGTTGAAACTCATGAATTTCTAATTCAAATTATAAAATCACATGTTATATAAGTATAAAAATACTCTATTATCAAATATATATATATAGTTTAAAAATATCAACGCATATAATATAAATCAAATCATTATTAAAGTCCAAATTAACCCATTTTTTAAAAAATTTAATTGGATAAATTATTGTTTAAAACTAAATTTAATTTTAAAATGATAATAATAACTAAATATTTGAAATATTATTAACAATGTAAAAAATTAATAATATTAGAATTATATAAAAAATTTGCAAAACAAAAAAAAATTATAAAAAGACTTGAACGGGCCAACCCGCGGCCTTTTAGGGCCGGCCCTTTTAAGCTCTCAGCCCTTTAAGGCCAGCCCTCCAGGGCTTATTTCCCATTTGAAGAGAAAAATATCAAGTCCGGCCCTCATAATTTCAGGGTCTAAATGAGCCGGCTTGACGGGCTCGGCTCGTTTTCCCGACTCTAATTTTCATATACCAGTTCTTAACATGAGGGATATATAACTAACTCGAAAATATTAAAAAATTAGTTAAGTTGGTAATTTGTTACAAATGATTAGAATCATCTCTTGGTGAAAACTCTTTACAATCAATCAATAAAGATATCTTGAGAAAATATAAGAGATAAAATGAATTGAGATTTTGTAAGTAGGACCAAATCCAATATTATATATAAATGACTAGCAATTAGGAACTAAAGTACTAAAGCTAATTAATTAAAAAGGCAATTTGCATGGGAATTTTAAATTAGCCTTTTCCAAGCTATCGTTTTATCATGAATTGGATAAGCACTGCGTCTCCACAGTTGCCTTATCATTGTATATTATATAAGCTTCTCACGATCTGCTTTAGATATGTAAGTCCTTAATCTAAGTGGTATTAGTTGTGGTGTGCCTGTCCCAGAACAAATATTTTAAAATTTTTCTTCCTTTTCGTGGATTTGTTTATGTAAAGAAAGGCAGGTGTTGTGAAACTGTCTTGGACAGTGTCACTTTCTAACTTTTATATAATACTACGTACATAATAAATAGCAGAGAGCAGTTTAGAATAAATTACTTACAGAATCACTTTGTAGCTTTATGACATGAAAACTTCTTTCATAAGTGAGAGGCGCGAATTCAATGCTGGTTGCCTCTCAGATTCAAAAGAACAAGCTACTGGAAACTAAATTGGCCATACTGCTATTTTTTTCATTTAAAATGCTGTTGTTATGGGTTCAATTTGAAAAGATATAAATTCAACTCGGTGAACTCGTCAAAACTCCTAACCTTACTAATTAATACTATATTCAGTTATAAATAAAAATTAATTAACTAATTTAAATAGATTAAAAAAATTTGTTACGTTAGTTATTTGTAATAAATATATATTATTTTTCTTAAAATATCCTTACTAATTATGTATATTAGCTAGAATTACTATTTGATATAATCTTTAATATGTGTAACTGCTATAAGGACCGCTCTGAAAAAAATATATAAATATAAAAGAGACAAAATGGATTAAAATCTTATATTTATAATTAAATTAAAAATTAAATTAACTATTATATTAATACCAGATGTAGCGGTTTGTTTCATCAGTTTACTGAT